AACATGAATCAGAACAGACTGTGCAGCATTCAATCCTACCATGGTTCACAAGTGGTGTCAGCAGAAGAACTAAGTAGCAAGATGACAAACCCAAATAAATATTAAAAGCCCTCCGCCTTCTGGTGAAATAAAATCTGCACTTTGGGGAGTTTATTTTCCTTGTCTCTTCTTCACAGAATACAATATTTTGAAACTTTGCCATTTTTTTGAAGTACAATCTGTTCACATGTTTGAGTTGCCAAGACGCAGACACAGCTTAACAGTTCTTTGGGGTTTTCTTTTTGAGACAGAAGAAAGCAGTGGCAGCGGCACAGAGAACACATGGGTCAGGACTGAGCTGGGAAGGACTGCGAGTGGGAACTGCTGTGGGAGGACTTGAATTTTAGCCATCCTGCAATGAAGCATTAGCCATCTTGGCCATGAAGAGTTCGCCAAGAGTTTGACATCTTGACCATGGAACGTGAGCCATCCTGACCATAAACATTAGACATTTGTCCATAAACCATTAGCCATCCTGACCATAAACCATCAGCCATCCTAAAATGAAGAGTTTGCCATACTAACCATAAAACATCAGCCATCCTGACCATGAAATGTTAGCCATCCTAACCACGAAGAGTTAGTCATCCTGAAAGCAAGCATGAGCCATCCTGACCATGCAGCAGGGACCCCCTTGCTGGCTCTCCCAGATGCATGAGGGATGCTCATCTGCTCCAAGACAACAGCCCTGCCTAAGCAGCATGCTCTGCAAAGATGTGGGGACCCTGGAGGGTGAGCAGCAGGGATGGGGACAGAGCACCCAGTGCCTAAACCATTCCTTGCATATGTGTTGGAAAAGGGGAAAAAGAAAAAAAAAAAAAGAAACTAACCCTGATTGCTTTGAATATGCACAATGGGGAGGGCATAAGCAAGTGGTCTGAGCTGGTCCAGTGCTCAAATGAGCAATACATGGGGAAAACCAGCAAGAGACCCCAGGAAGGGAGGCAGTGCTGGGTCCCACGTGTCTGAGGCACTTATGTCTGAAGGGTTTTTTTTTGAAAAGAAATGTTAGTCCCAAGATCAGTTCTTTTCAATCACAACTGCCAAACAAGCTGTCAGATAACAGCCTCCAGTTTGCCACAGCAGACACCAGCTTTGAACAACGACGCTGGATGAAACTGCAGCTTGCTGAGAGAAGTCATCTGTACAGAGCTCCAAACGTGGAGGCAGCTCAATCACACAGCAAATTGGACGTTACCTGTTCCATCCACTGGAAAAAAAATGGTATTTTTCACAGCATTTTTATGAATCATTATTATTTTTAGCTTTGCTTCCTAAAGAAAATCACCACATCTGTGCATCTGCCTGCATCCCTCACGGGAAATTTAAATCCAGTGTGGCCAACTTCATCTAACAGAGAAATGGAGCTCTGGGAGACTGCAGATCTGGGTAGCAGGTGGCACAGGGCAGGTGTTCAGCATCAGTAGAAGGGTTCACTGCAGCTCTGAGCATGGAAAGCCCCAGCGAGGTATTGCACAGAGTGCAGAAGGCTCACGGTCTGACGTACAGATGTGACTGCACATCTGCTCCCCAGCATTCCAAAAAGCTGTGAGTTTTCCATGTGAACAACCACCAGTGGCCCACCAGCCTTACAGCTTCCGTGCTAACGCTCATCTGAAAGCTCTCCCCTGCAATTTCCCGTGCAGAGGCTTTCACAAACGCCCACCTCAAAAGCCAAGTTTTAAGAGTAACTGAGAAAAATATATATTTTTTTAAATATATATATATATGTATAAATACATATAATAAAACTGGTTTCAAGCAGTGCACAGAGACATCTCCAGACCCTTGTTCTGATCCAGCAGAACACCCCAGGTGTGCATAACTTAAATCCACCTCCTTTTGCAAGCAGTTACAAACACGATGTACTGCAGTGGCCGTCTTTAAACTCTTTGGTTTCCAACCCCTCACCTTTAGCCCCTCTGTTTCCAACCCCCTTCCCTTCAGCCCCACTGCAGCATCGCTGCTGGAGCCACGTCCGGAGGCAAAACTACAGCAGGAAAAAGAAAAACTGACTTAATGAAAACACATTAAATACTTCCCTGTGAAGGTCTTAAACCAATTCCTCCGGGAGGGGAGAAAAATACAGCCTCCAATCGGCTTGTTAACCTCTTCCCACCACTGCGCCGAGATTAATGGGGCTGGCCCCGTTCTATTAGAGCAATGTTAAATATCAATATTGAAAAATGAGACTTCAAAGCTTCATGGAGGAAGGGCAGGGAACATAATGGGGAATAATAAAGAGGAAGACAGAGGAATTTGCTGCCCACATATGCTGTAGCAGAAAACAAACCTTTGCTTCTGAAGGAAAATCCCATTCCCCATCTCCAGACTTTTCTTTGCAGTCAAAAACTTTTTATGATTTAATCCAAAGTAAATGGTTCCTTGCCACAAAAAGCTCCTATTTCCTTCAAAGGATATTAACCAGTTCTGTCTTCACCACAATTTATTATTAAAGCCATGTTCAATAGCCGTGCAGCAGCACTTTCTTTCACAAAACACTCTTTAGCACAGAGTTTGATGATAAAATTTCACAGGAGGGAAATGCCTCTTTCTGCTCCTTTTGAAGAGATCGTTACAATTCCTGAGTTTTTGTCTGGTTTTCTCAGAACTCATGAAAGCCAAACGATGCCCTTTCCCTACTGTGTGTCCTCACAACAACACCCCATCCAAAGTGAGGGCAGAACGGAGATGCTTGGTGCATTTCCATACAACAAGGGTAAATCAGCATCTCCTCTGCAAGACTGAGAGCTCATGACCATGGCTTGCTGCAAAACCTCAGGCTGAAACACCTCTTGAACAACCAAGAAATTAGAATTACTTTTTGAGGTCCCATACGCCCTGCAAATGCCCAGCTCTGCACACTTCCAGTGAAAATACCCAAAGTTTTGAGTTACTAAAGATCATTCCGTAGCTCTATTCTTTACGCTTGAAAATTATTGAAGGTTAATGCATGCAAAATGGTTGGAGCTGATGGAAGCCTCCTGGGAAGCTCTCCTCCCATCACTTCCATCTCCTCCCATCACATTTCCAGGGCTGTGTGATGCTCAGAAGCAGGAGCAGGCAGGGGAAGCAGCTGAGCTCCATACACCCCCAGTTTGTGGACACACAGTTTCAGACAAGCCCTTGTTTCTGGATGAAACCAAAAGCTCCACGTGGTGTCCGTGCAAGCACCATGAAAGTGGGCCTGAAAATCTGTTTTCTAGCTCCCTGTTAAAGGAATTAGCATGCAAGAGGCTCTTAAAGGCTCAACCAAAAGCCAAGGGAAGGGCTAAAGTGCTTGCTGTGCTTTATTTGCCTCCCTGAAAAATAATTCACGCGCTCTCTCCTTGCTAATAAGCAAGCCTGGCCATTTGTGGCTGCTCCTCCATCACTGCACTGCTGGGATGAAGACTCTGCTTCTCCTTCATCCCCATCCTCCCTCATGTTGTTTGCAAGAACTCCTTGGAAACAGCCAGCTTGGAATCTGTTTCCTTAACAACTCAATGCAGGGCTGCTGGGAAAGGGGCTGAAGCAGCTCCCAGCTCCTACATCCTAGGTTCCAGATCCCAGCTCCTGGATCCCAGCTCCAGCCCCTGAGCTGCACTCCATAACTGTGCTGCAGCTCACACTTCTCTGTCTTTGTCTCTTTTTTCTTTTTTTTAATTCCCCTTAGAAACCACATTTGGGGACAGGAAGCAGGAAAAGCAAGGGAGCTTTTGTGATTGTCATGGATGTGGCAAGATCCGGAGTCAGGATGTGCCTGAAACACAGAGCCAGGCACAGAGACCAGGGCACAGCCCTGACTTCCTCTGACCTTCAGCCCTCCACTCCTCCCTTGCTTTTCTCCAAAACCAATCCATCAATTAGTCCCATTTAACAACACGGTGACGGCAAACCCTGCATCCCTATCTGGCCAGACAACGTCTGGAAAGCTGTGCAGCTGGAAGCCTGCAAGCAGAGGATGCTGCATGCATCCCAGTACAATTCCCACTGACCACAGCAGCACCCCACATTGACTCTCCTGCTGCCCCACACCACGATCCCATGGCCCCAGCTGACACTGTTAGCACCCACACTGCTGGGACTGCTGCAAGGCTCTGCTCACTCCTATGACTCAACCCTGCAACCTGTAATCAACCCTGCAGGAGAGGCCCCAAACCAAAATAGCAGGGTTTCTGCAAGGAGGTGCATGGTGCGAAGGTTGTGCAACGCCCTGCTGCTCATTGCTGTGTTCCGATGCAAGAGAGCTGCGTTTCCAGCCCGTGTCAGCTCTGCCCAGGTGCAAACACAATGCAAAGATCTCTGGGTGTACTGCAGGGTGAGCTCAGCCTCTTGCAAGGGACGGGTCAGGAAAGCAGCACAAGAACGAAACACGTGAGGAAGGCCATGCAGAAAGCTTTGCACTCAGGGCTCCAGCAGGCTAATCTGTGTGCTCCTGCAGTGCTGAACCATACAGCAGCGACACCAAACTGTGCAAATATCAGAACCCATTTGCCTGCCTTTCAATAAGCTCTGTATTTCCGTAATTCAATTTGGAAGGTAATTTCCTGATTCAGGCTCAGCTCTTGTACTCTGCCCATTTTTCTCTTAACACATCCTGCAAACAGGCTGCAGGCTGTCGTGTTTATTTGTGTCAATACAGAAAGCAGAGGGCTGCCATTTCTCCCTGTATGCCTGTATATTTTGGTTGCAGGAGGTCATTGGACCCTCTCATATAGCTGCACCTCTGCATTTTGGAGGCATTAAGAGCTTTGGAATGGAAGGGATGCTGTGACTGGGGTTTGACATGAGTCCTGCAATGATGTAGGATGAGAGGTGATAGTTGCACCAGGGGAGGTTCAGGTTGGATATTAGGAACAATTTAGTCTCCAGAAGCACAGTGATGCCATGGCACAGCTGCCCAGGGAATGGAGGAGTTACTAATGCCAGAGGTGTTCCAGAACCATGGGGATGTGGCACTGAGGGATGTGGTTATGGGCACGATGGGGGTGGGCTGGGGTTGGATTTGGAGATCTTAGTGCGCTTTTCCAACCTTAATGACTGTGATCCTAGTGAGCCAATTCTACACCTCCCCAGATCCCCACCAGCCAAAAGTGAACCGAGACTTTGGGTTTCACTTCCCAGCCAAAACAGATGCAATGCAAAACAGCCCGAAATCCATCAAATCCATCACACTTCAGGTTCTAACGCAAGTGGGAGATGGTAGATAGGAGAGTTTTGCTTGCCTACGGCTTTCAGCACAGGTCACAGGAGGTTTTCATATTAAAAACTCTATTACAACACTTTGGCTGAAGGCATCCCACATGTGCATCCACCCAGTTCAGTGGCCAGGGGAAAGGGCACGGCTGGGTGCAACCAGCAGCAGCGATGTCCCAGCACAGAGAGGCACACAGCTGGACACAGCTGGCAGGAATCCCCCCAGCACAGTGCAGCACATCCCTCCTGGGCACATCCCACACAGAGGGGAGGTGGCAGGTTGCAGGGATGTGCCCACTCCGGTTCCAGCTCCGATGACCCTGGCTGTGACCACGTTGCACAAGGTTTGTTTGCGTGTGCCAAGCACTCAGGTGTGCTGCAATAACGAGTTAAGGCACAAACACGCCTGGGCTCTGACTCACACCCACTGGAGTGAAGAGCCATGGGCAGCCGCTGGGGGATGCTGCCCATGTTGCATGGAATCTGTGGTCCCATTCTCCTTAGCACCATGCAAGTATACCTCCAAACCCATCTGCAATGGTTATGGGGATGCCTGCAGAAAAACATGTCATGTGCAAGAAAAAAAAAAGAAAAAAAAAAAAGCAAAATTGGATAGTTTGCCTGCACATATAGCTTGCTTACAGTGAAAAACCCATTCCAGTCTGTTCCTGTCCCAAATGCCCCAGATCTCACAAATCACTCATGGCCACCCCAACATCCAGGTGGGCACCCCGCACTGGGGACAGCATCCCTGCAGGGCTCCTGCAATGAGCTCTGGGAAGGATGTGCCAGCAGCGTGGAGAAATCCCAGCACAGAAATTACACCAATATCTCCCCTCTGCCTTCACCACCTTTCCATCCCGGAGCCTGTGTGCTTTGCTACTATCTCCAATTAGGAAACTCACAGCACTGCCACCCAGGGAAGCTGCTGCTGGGAGCCTGCAGCCCGCACAGGGTTTGGGGAGGGACTGCTGCAGTCACCACTCTGTTTCCAAACCATCGGCTGTCTGCTTCCAGTGGGAGTTTGCTGGAATCCAAACTGGAGAAAAGCTCTTGGAATCCACCCGTGGAACAAAAGGGCTTTTGTGCAGGAAGAGCTGGAGGATGAGGCTGCTCTCATTGCTGCTACCTTCATTTTTCTACTGCCAAAGGGCACCTGCCAGTGGCAGAGGGATGGCTGGCACGTGTGGGTGGGCAGATGGACATAAGGACACACAGACACATGGACATGTGGACAGACAGGTAAGGGGACACATGGATATGTGGGCATAAAGACACAGAAACACACAGACACTTGGACACGGGAACACACAGACACACTGACACACGGACACAAAGACACAAGGACATGCACACACACATGCTCCCATGGTGGGAGCACACCAGCCTTAAACCACAGCCCAGCTACAAACACTTCCATCCTTACTAACATATCCACTCCCTGGAAAACTCAACAGAGGAACAGAATTCCCCCACTGCTCGGCTGAGACCCAAAGGAACAGCTTTCCTCTGTGGCTGGGACACCAATCCTGGTGCCACACCAACCCATGGCGTGGTGACATTCCCTCTGCTCCCTGCTCAGCAGCCACGAGAGGTTCATTTTGCTGAGATGGACTGAACTCCCTCAGCATATTGCAAATGTTGGACATCTACCCAGTGCTATGGAGCCATTTCCTGCTGCTGGTTCACTGCATGTAAACCTGAGTTTATAATCTTCTGTTCACAACAAAAGCCACCTTTGGATAAAACAGGCAATTCACGTTCCAAGCACAGTAGAGAGAGAAATGCCCATTGATCCTGTAATTCTGTTTGTTGGCAACACGATCGAGATTCTGACCAACATGACTGTGTTCTCCCCGTTAAGAACCCTCTTCTATTCATTTCTCATCTGTGAGCTTGCTTGCTTAATTTTGTACCAAGACAATTAAAGATGCTACTTCGCTCTGAACGGCGCAGATGGCAGCTCACTCATGCTCCCTCTGCTGGCAGTGCCTCTCAGCAAACAGGTAGGACCCCCCACTCACAGTGAGTTCGGGATACAGGATATAGGATGTAGGACCTGTGATGAAGGATGCGGGATGCAGGCTGGAGTAGAAACGATGGAGGATGCAAGATGCAGGATGCAAGATGTGGGATGCAAAGTGCAGGATATGGGATGCGAGATGTAGGATATGGGATGGAGGATGTGGGATGCAGGATACAGGATGGAAGATGCGGGATGTAGATGGGTGATGTGGGATGCAGGATTCCAGATGCAGAATATGGGACGTAGGACCAAGGATACAGGATGCAGAATATGGGATGCATTGCTCAAGCTGGTAAGGAAGACTTGTGGTTCAAGTGGATTTAGGCAGAAGTCAGAGGGCAGGGACTTGCAGCTCTTCTGCCAGGCACCTGCGAAGAGTGTGGATGTGCTTGCACCTCATCTAATAAAGCAAAGCAAGATTTTTATCATGCCATTTTATTTCAGTTTAGAACACATTACAAAATGCATGACGGCATGGCACTCTGGCAGAAGACAGCACTCCCTGTCCTTTTTCCCATCCAGCCAAGCATCCCTGACACAAGTGAGCAGATGTTTTTCTACCCACGTAGGCCCACATGGATCAAACCCCACCAGGCTGCACCTCTCCACCCAGCCTAAGCCAGGAGCTGTGACCACAGAACTGCCTTTAGGAGCCCTTCTGTCAAAGCCTCTGTAGAACTCCTTGTGCTGGGTTTGTGACTGCACGTTCATTTAGATGCACAAATGCTCTCAAGTACAGCACTGCTTTCTGACAGGGACACGGAGAAATAGGAAAAAAGGAACCAAGGGAGAGCAGCAGGGTGGTGTAAATCATCACACAGATCCCACATGTCCACCCCACTTAGCAACCAGGAGCAAATACATCCCCAGCCCTGTAAATTCTTATGTGTGTGCTCAGCTGCAAGCACATCCAGTACCACTGACTCTGCTCACGCACTCCAAGTTTAACACATGCATAAGGAGTTTCAAGATCAGAATATGAATTAAAAAAATCACGTTTAGCTTCGCTTGTGTAGGGAAAGCAAACAAATCTCCAGACCCCTCCCAGCCCAGCTGCTCTGAATCTGCTCCCATTCATTGCTGCTTGGCATCAGCTGTGGCAATGCCTTTGAAAAGCAGGATCCTGGGGACAGATCCTGCAAGAGGTGCTCCTGGGGGTGGTGCTGGTGTAGGACAGTCATAATGTGTGTGCTGCAAGGTAAAGTAATTGGGAGTGCTGGTATTGGGCTGGGAGAAGAGGAGGAATGCTCCCTGCTTGCAGGAAGCTGTTCCAGCCCCTTATCTGACACAGAGCTCCTGATTTCTTGCGGGGGAAGTGCCAAATGTTTTAGAGAGGGGAAAAAAGATAAATCACAGTTAGCTCCAAGGGAAGCTGCCTATGACATGAATGGAGCTGCCCTGGGTGGAAGCACGCTCCCTGCCCTGCTGTGGGTGCTGCTGTGACCCCAATGCCCCTTCTACAAGGGACCTCTGTGAATGCAATCACTCTGACCTCCAGAAAGTGATTTACAACTGATAACCTCTGAGTGCAACATCTGCCAGGGACGGGCTGGGATCTGCCTGCAGCTGGGATGCTGCTGTCCCGCCGTGTCCTCCCATGACACACACACTGCACTGCTCCTTTCCTTCATTTGTAAAACTGCTCCTTTGGCAGTGAGTCAAATCCTCTGCAGAGAGGTTCCAAGCTGTGCGAGCAATAAGCATATCAGTGCTGTCCTTGGGAAAGGTAAGGCAGCCAAGCTCTGTGTTAATTGCCTTTGTTTTTTTTTCTTCTAGAGGGTATCTCCCCAAGGATGGCCCTGTGCTGTGCAGAGCTATTAGGTAAGCGTCCCTATGGATGGATGTTGGCTGCTGTGGTTTCTTGCACAGGGACCTGGGGAGCTCCAGGCTGAGGGATGCTGACTGTTCTATCAGACTTTGTGCTGAGCATTCTTCATCTCCAGCCTGGCTCCTCCTGTAGGTTATTAAGGGATTATGGTTCCCAGCCCCATAGCTAAAAAGCAAAAAAACACATTGGAACAGGTTGGGAAAACAACAGTATCTAGAGCACTGCTATTCTCCTTTAATAGGTTACCCCGTCAACCCTGTGCTTGTTAAATAAGAGAAAAATCTGTGGGCATGCAGTGAAGGTCAATCTTGTGGTTTCTGAAAACATTTAATTAGTACAGTTAAGTGCTGAGGTCCACCTGGGAGTGAGCTGCTGCATCAACAGCTCTGAGCAGGGGGAAGGAATCCTACATCAGGAGTGCAGTAGGGGCTGCATCACTGTGCCCAAGCTCCAGAGGTTACCCAGCTTATAGGAAACCCACTGCAGCATCCCTTAATGGCCTTAAGTTGCACCAGGGGACGTTCAGGTTGGTTCTAGGAAACTTTTCTTCTCTGAAAGAGCAGTGATGCAGTGGCACAGATGCCCAGGGAGTGGGGGGGAGGGTGAGGGAGTCACCATTTCCAGAGGTGTCCCAAAACTACAAAGATGTGGCACTGAGGGATGGGGTCAGTGGGCACAACGGGGGTGGGCTGGGGTTGGTGATCTTAGCAGTCCTTTCCAACCTTAATGATGCTATGATTATACATCGCAAGCCACTTATATGGGCTCAAACCAGCAGGCACAGCGTGCACAACTGCTGTTCTCGTGGGCTGGCACTTCCCTTAGAAAGGCCACAGTTTGGAAGACAAAATCAGCTCCAGCCCTTGCAAAGGCAAACTTGGTTTGCTTTCTTTCCCATTTTTGCAGCATGGGAGACCCTAATTGTAGGCAATTAAAACAACACTAGAAAGAAAGGGCTGTGTTGAAATCTAAGCTGGAAAGTGTGCCTCTAAATGGCTTCCAGTTGCCAGTACTGGAAAAGTGCCTGGGGAGTGTGGAGCCCATGCCAAGGGCAGCACAGTGCTCTGTGGGACCTCAGCCCATGCACCCTCTGTTCAGGGCAGGGGTGCACAGCTCAGTGGGATGGGGCTGCTGGGTGACTGAGCTGGAGCAGAACAAGCCCAGGGCAGAGCCAGCAGTCAGTGCTGGAGCTCCTCAGCTGAAAAAGGTTGAAAACCCTTTTTTTTTTTTTTTTCCTCCTTTTCCTCTCAATGCAGGGTTGTGCCAGAGGGAAATCCATTACTTTAGAGCTATCAGAGCAACAAAAGGCTTTTTTTTTTTTTTTTGTCATTTTCTGTATCTGCCCTTGAACTACTGGAGAAGCAATAGACGCATTTAAGAGAAACAACTGCATGGAAGGAAGCAGTAATTTCCATAAAGCAACTGAGTGTCAGATGGGCCCTGCTGCAGGCACAGCAATGGGCAGAGCCAGGACCAGACCCACCGTGGGGTGAAACAGCACAACAACACAGATATTGGGACTTCCACCACACACAGTGCTCTGAGGCCACTGCGTACTGATAAGCACTGCTTGATGAAGTGCAACTGCATATTTTTGTTTAGGAGAAGATTCTCCTTCAAAAGCAGCTACGACAGCTCTGCCCGTTCAGCCTTCCTGAAGGCCTCTCATTGCAGACAGAAGTGGTGACTCCTGTACTTATTTTCTATTGCTGCCTTATCTTTGGCATCTCAGCTGTGACTTTTACTGTTTTTTTCCACTGGTTTCATCAGAGTGCAGTAAAAGTGGATGTTTGTTGGGCTTCAGCTCTGCTAATGATTCTTGATCTGTGCGGTGCAGACGAGGAGAGCCCAGCCTCGATGAGAACATGGCAAGCTAAGTAGGCTAACAAAACAGCAGCAGCAGCAAGAAACTGGATCAGCTCCGCTCGGTGAAGTTTTCCTACTTCAACAGGGAAAAAAAAAAAAGAAAATATCTCTTTCTTTCCCTGAAATCTTTCTTACAAATACCAAACTGCAAAGGCTGATCCCTCCGGCTGCTTGCACAATGCTCCATGGCTTCACTGCACTCAGCTTTTTGCAGCAGCCTAATGTG